CTTTTCTGAAGAGCACTTACATACACACTTACCACACATCTACTTCCCTAGCTTCCTTTATTCACCAAGTAGTGTATTCTAAAGACTATTCCTTGGCAATATTGAGAGGCCTTTTGATTCTCTCTGGCAGCACCATGGGATTTTATGGTAGGGATGCAACATGGCCTTTCTGTCAATCCTTGACAGACACTGGCTCATCCCAGTCTCTTGCTATTACAAATATGGCAATCTCTAAATACTTTAGCCATTTTCTGGTAGATAAGCAATTAATTTCACGTACTATTTTGGTTGATAGAAAATCAACATAATAAATGTCTTTATATTAAAAGACGTCAGTCAGGAGTTGTGGGACACACCTGAAGTCTCAGAACTTAGGAGGCTAAGACAGGAGGATCATGAAGGTCAACACTAGAAACACACAGATTCTATTTTAAAAGAGAAACAATAATAGGAAGAAATTCTACATGAATACAGAAACAACAAAGGTTGTCAGAAGATGTTTGTATATGTTTATTTTTCATTAAAATTTCTACAGAACTTGATATGTTCTTTAAAATGTTAGGGTAAATCATATCCCAGGTATCAATATGAGCAATCTCTTGTTTCGTTCAGTCATCTCTACCATTAGCTGTAAGCCAACTCCACTAATTTTTGCCAAGACGATGTGAGTAACATCTAACTGTTCCTTAGCCCGTGCTCCCTGATTACCAGTGAGGTCAAGCATCACTACGTATTTACTGTATACTGATATTGCTGACTTGCTTTTCTTAACAATAGTGTAATCTTGCTATATTCAGTTTACCAGCCCTTTTTAAAAATTTTATACTAACTACTTTGTAGACCCACAAAAAATATTTTAATTCTTACAATATACTCTGGTTCTTTCTTCTTGAACATTTAACATATTTAGGACTTGAGGAATCTGTTAAAAAAAAAGCCTACTTAACAGATTTGTTTACAGATTTTTTCCCTGATAATTAATACATATAGCTGCATTAAAATATAAATATTTAAAGATTCCCCTCACTTTGATACTGTTATATTGTCAAGGTTATTTTGAGTAAAACCTTTGTATTAGTATTAAGACTCAAAAAGTATGTATATCTCACATGTAACTGAAAATTTGACTGGCACAGAATTGTTTAAATTTTTTCTTAAGAATTTAAAGTCATTTCTCCTTGCAGTTTATAAAATATTTTTATTGCATGTATGACATTTTTCTTATGCTTACTTCCTCACAGATTTTAGAATCATATTTTGGTGTTAGAATCTGAACGTGTCCCTGTCCAATGATGAAACAAGTCAAACCTTAATCCCCCAAATTATAATAATATAGAAAATAGAGCCTTTAAGGTGTAACTAGGGCATAGAAGTGAAAGTTCTCATGAATAATGCTTTAAGAGTACTAATAGAAGGCCAACAGGATGGTTCACAGAATACAGGCACTTGCTGACAAACCTTAGTTCAATCCTGGAACCCACACAGTGGAAAGAGAGAACCACCTCACCCAAGTTGTCCTCTGACCTCCAGGGATGTATTGCAATGCACATGTATGCACGCACGCATGTGCACACACACACACACACACACACACACACACACCCCTAATGAAGCTTGTCTGCCATGTGAAGGCACAGCAAGCAGGTGCCTTCTATTGCAATGTGATCTTACCTAACATATGCTGAAGGCTCGATCTTGAATAGAAACTTGCAGACCTAAGAAAAACAACTGTCACTTGTATGTATACTACTCATAGTTTTTACAGCACCTCAAAGAGACTAAGGCACTGCCAAAAACGCATGTTGAAATGCTAATTGCCAACACAAAGGTATAAAGAAGGAATTTAATTACTTTAAGGTGATCATGTCATGTAATAGGGCCCTGATGAATGGGATTAATGCCCTTAAGAGGTCCCAGAGAGCTAGCTAGTCCATGCTATCTTCTGAGGACACAACTAGGAGGTGTTTGTCTGGACCAGAACACCAGGAACTTGCCATACAAAAGTCTGCTGATTTCTTCATCTGAAATTTCTTAGTCTCTACAACATTGAGAAATAAGTTTCTGCCATTTATAATCTACCCAATGTACGTTATTTTATTACATAGCACCAGGCCAACTAGGGCACTATATTTGTCTTTTTCACTTGTACTCTGTGGGCCTTTTGACCCCTAAACTTTTACAATTCAAGTAAATATTTTAAAAAAGGGTGATGGGGAAACACATGCTAAATTCTTCCCTAACTTTTCTGATTCCTCAACCTACACAATTTCATGGAATGATTCTCTGATTTTACCTTTTACTTCCCAAATGTCTTTTAATTTACTTTTCTAGAAACTGTCTGAACCTTATCTCCTAATCCTTCTATTAAATATTCAATTTTATAATATATAAAATAACCAGTAACTGTGCTTGGCATGGTGAATTATGCCAGTAATCTCAGCACCAGGGAGGTAGAGGCAGGAGGATCTAGAGTTCAAAGTCATCTTCAGGAACTCTGAGACCAGACACACAATTTATATTCATCTAATAATTTCATTTACTTCCCAAAATGTTTTAAACATAGGTAAAGCAAAGAGTATTAGGGTTGGCTGTTGCTACAAAAGACTCTTAATACATGAAAATTATTGAGAAATGCTTTCATAGCATCCTCAGAACTGACTCCCTAAAAGTGTAAAAAGGAGAAATGTTTATTTCATTTTCACACATCAGGTGGTGTTCCTTGCCTTCACCTCAGAACCACACACGCAGAGTGCTAAGAGGGTTCCTACACTATTCCATCTGGTGGGACAGCGAAGCCCTAGGGAAGGCAGGCAGTGATACAGAGGGACAGAACCAAGGCAACACCCAGCTGCAGGGCAGAGGGCCAAGACAATGAAGAGCTGGTTCCTAGGGCAGCAGCTGGAGTATGCAGCTGAGGGTGCTTTTGCAGTGAAACACAGTGGTGTTATGTTGGACATAGTGAGAACTCTTCATTTCTTAAGTGGTTAACCTTTAAGTTTTGCTGTGTTGTCTCCATTGGCTTCTAGCTTCCAATGTTCCCAGTCAGCAATAGAGGTGATGTGGGGTTATCTGCTTGAGAGTACGGGCCTACCGACCTGAGAGGAAGCATGGGCAGAGAATTTTCAATTGCACAGGTTTACTGGAGTATGACATGGCTGGCTGACATCAGTGAGAAGCTCTTAGTCAATAACTGTAGGTTTTATGCCAGACGCATGCTTGGAATTCTAGCATGCAGGAGAGAGAAGCAGGAGAATCTCTGTGAATTCCAAGCCAGCCTGGTCTACCCAGAGTGTTCCAGGTCAGCTAGGGCTACAGAGTGGGACCTGTCTCAAAACAACAGTAACAACAACAGTAACAACAACAACAACAACACACACACACACACACACACACACACACACACACACACACACACGTCTTTTCTCTTGTGCTAACCGCCCCAAGAAGAATAAACTAGTGTCTTCTCCTCCCCAAAGGCAGAGTTTAGGGAGATTTAAGTCTGGCTGACCTGAAGTCCCACCACTTGGCTCATTTTTAGGGTCCTTTGCCGTACATCAGTGCTTGGTCTTAAGTCATGCCTGTCCCTGCAGTCTCTTGCAGGGAAGACAGGCAACAGGGGAAATATGGAAGTCAATTTATTTTTCTAGACCTATAGAAGTAATTTCATTCTTAGTGCTCTGGTACCTCCAGCTCCTAAACCTGGGGGGCTCGTCTGTGTAAGCCCACACACAAGCTTTCAAGACTTCCTGCCGCCTGACTAACAGTCACCTCTGCCAGGGTAGCTTTATATGCATCACGCTCACTTACAAGCATCTCCCTCCCAAAATGTCATTACCACCTGTAATTCTTTGTGACACTTTGCATCCAAGTAATTTTTAAAACTTCTGTCATTTTGATGTGGTTATAAGTACAAACATGAATAATCTATGTTCAAGAGAACATTTCTTCCTTGTTTTACTCTGAAACACCTAAAAGTTTCACATACTGACTATGCCTCACGATATGCCAGCCACGGAGACACATCCACAAGACCAACAACAGGAGCATTAAGTTCCGAAGCACATTCCTAGATGTGGGCTCTGCCGTTTACAATTTTTCTTCCTGACCACGCTTACCCCACAAATTTCTGCTTGTATGATTTTCCTCTAAGTCTTTTTTTGCCATCTCGGAGCTGGTGGTAATTTTAAAAACTGAAGGTTCAGTTTTCTTTTATCTCAGTATGATTCCATACTAGGAATCCACACAGAGAGAAACACACTTCAGTGTAAGAAAAAAACCACCCCTTAGATCAACAGGCTATGGCTTTGCCTCATTGCTTAGAGCGGTGAAACAAAGCAGACAAAGCCTAGAAGAAATTAAAGTGATTTTTTTTCTTACGGCGTTCTTAGAGTAAAACTCATATGTAAAACAAATCTGAAGAAGTGCTTCAAAGAAAACATGTCTGAGAAAAACAAGTGTACAGAAAACCATGACCTAACGTGACAAGAAACCCTCAGTTCTCAAGGTAAGACAGCAGTAGACGATATGGGCCAATGGGCAGAAAACCAGAACACATGCCAGAACTTAACAATCAAGACCCAGCAGTTCCCTTAGCTGTAATTCTGCAGCAGGAACTGGAATCCTCACCAACAGCCGCCAGCTGACATCACTGGGCACCATCTGGGCAAGAATGGGAGGCAAAGAGCTTAAGGCAAAGCTATTTATAGAAAACAAAACAGTTCTCTAACGTTTTTGAAAAAGATAACGCCCTCTCGCCCTGCAAGCCTCGTCACACAGAACAAACACGCTGAGATACACTCCTCAGTCTGTGACACAGCAGCTTCCGAAAGACTCATTGAGTTTCTGAGGAATAAAAACATGAGCATGAATTGAAAAAGTCAACACTGACAGGTGTTTAACAGTGGTAAAATATACTTTTATTTACTTTTTTGAGTCAGAAGGTTGTAAAAAAAATTATTGCTAAAGTAGATACCAAGCAAAACAGAAAGGTACTTGAGAAGTCCAGTTACCTTGGAGTTTATTTAAACTAAGGAAAAGGTCATGTTTTCATGCAATACATACTTGGTTCTTTAAATAACAATTGTGACAAACAGCAGAAAGAACTAGAGAATGCTGCACTTGTGATCCATACAAAACATCAACATTTTGGGTTGTACATAATTAAAGAAACATCTCACTTTTCGAAATACTGTAATAGCCAATATATAGAGGCATGCCTTTATGTGGGCATAGGAATGTAATTTAGAAAAGAAAAAAAAAATCACACTGGAACTACTCAATTTCTTTCAAATCACTGAGCAAGAAAAGTAACATTGAACTTCCATACTGATTTTATGCAGCTTCTATACAGTACCTTGACTTAAATCCAAGAGCAAAGTTAAGACTCTCCTCCTCTATTTTTGGTAAACAACTGCATGGTAAACTTAGATGACTTTCCCTCTGGATTTTACCTGGGAGTGGCCTTTTTAATATTTTATTTAAAAGAGGGCAGGTTTGGCACTTTTATACTGATGTCACCAATGTTAATATTTCTTGGGATCTCAGGAAGATTCATATTCTTTACAGCTGATACAGCACGGGCTGGAGCTCCTGCTAAGCCAGCCTGTATACAGAAGCAAATAAAAGAAAAAGAAAATGTACAACTCAGGTGTAGCTCATTACAAACAAACTTAGCAATGGAAGACAATGGTAAAAGGTTTTCACATAACAAGCTTAAAGACCAGATGGCAGTTTGAATCAGTATGAGATGGTTACTTTGAAATACTAATCTATAAAGAGAAAACAGCTGACACATTAGAAAATACAATGAATACATGCAATAACAATGTAAAGAAAGATTTAAGTACAAGTTATGTGTGCTACCCAGATACCACACAGTGTTCAAATAAAAGCTAAATTTCAGCTACAATTTAACAGATATCAGTTTTGAGGAATGATTTAGATTAGTTTCCTTATTAAACATCTTTTGAAACAAATATGACAGGTTTGTTTTTATTTTAAAATGGAAATAATCAATATATGTTTATAAAACAAAAGTAATAGCAATTATTTAGCTTCTTCATTCAGGGTTAAACCCTTACATTTTAAAACAATGAAATTGGTCTTATTACTGTTGGGGCTCTTCCAAAGTTTCTAAGAAAGAGCTAAAGCATTAAAAAAAATTACATCTTTAGGGAAGCCTTAATCCAAAAAGAATAATTCTTCCTAAGACTGAAACTGCATGGAGACTCTCCTAAGCAAGCCATCAGTGGAAATCAAATGAGTAAGCATGCTTTGTCCTCTGAATTAGACTCAACAACGTATGCTGAGTTTCAAACACACAAACTAAGAGAAAGAATAGTATATATAAAGAAATGAAGTTTAAATTTCACTTATCACCATTAGTGCATAATACTTGGATTCCTCTAGTAGGAACATGTATAATTTGTCAGATAATTTGTTAGAAACTATGATTTAAAATGAAAGAAAACTACATATATATAATTTTTGAGTTATATTAATAGGCTTCACTGTCAAGATTTAACATACACCAATAAGATTTCATTGTTTTTAAAAATTCAGACTATATAAAAAGCAAAGCCAACAAATCCACCTGAGTTGAGTGGCACTGTTTTACACAAAACAAACAAACAAAAACTCCCCCTTCGCTCAATTACATATATGAAAAGACAGTATCCACGAAATTAGAAGCAATCGTTTTAAAGTCCCTTTTCATAATTTACATTTTTTCTTCTGTAATCCTACCTCTTTTAATTAAAATAATAGTAATAATAAAGCTGTTGTTACCTGAGATAAATCTTGACTGATACAAAATAGGCCAGTGTAAACTATGTGCTGAATAAAGGATACAAACATTGTTAAGCAATAAAATAAAAGCCACGGATTATCAATTTAGGGTTGGAAATAGAGAAATTCGTAAAACTGTATTAATACTTGAGATGGTCTACACAGGCAATGATATGGGTGATAATGGATGGAAGCTCCATATCCAAGTCCAGACAGGGGGGAGAATTCAATTTCCATAATTTAATGGAGGAAGTTTTTGATATAAAACTAAAATTTGACTGACTTCTTCATTTGTACCTACCTGAAACAAGGAAGTTTATGGTGTAGCCCACTTCTTTCCCACCCACCAAAGGTGTTAAAGATAAAACTGAGTATCATATCTTCAGAATAATAGAGCTGAAAATATATTCAAAAGGATCTTTAATTTGATAATTTCAAGTAAAAGTCCTAGCTATCAAAATTTGAAATGACTCAGGACAAAGAAGATTCCAGTTCAAAGGAATTTACTACCCTGTAAATTTTCTTTTCCCAAAAGTATGTTGGCTGCAAGGGAACAGAAATTATTTTAAAGTTGTAGAGATCTGGAACTATTATAACTTTTCCAGGCAAAGGAGGATTTGGTAAATTTTCAAATTCCAAGATCAATTTGCTATTTTAGCTGTGGAATTTACATTAAGGATTACATATGAAAAGTTGACAGGAAAGCATTTGAACGTAAATATTTTTAAGGATATAAATTATTAAAAGATTTTATTATTGTAAAAAATACATGTCTTATTTTACTGGTTTTATATTTTAACTTTATAAACAGGAAACCTATTTTTTTCAGTATTATCTACCATGAAGCCTTGTTTTCTATAATGCCATGTGTAAAGCTAACTAAGCTCAGGCAAAGAAAAAGAAAAACATCCTGTCACATTTCACTAAACCATTTCTGGGAGTAAAGATGTTGTCAACTCTTAGCTGCCCATGAAAATCTATAAAGGCACAACAGAAACTGAGTTCAATGGCATTTACGTGCCATATTCTTACTGTGCAAAACCAGAAGTTTCTAAATATAACCATCTACATCTCTTCTAAACATATGCAGCAAGCCGTAGACATGCAGAGGATGGGGGTTATTTAGAACACGCAGATGAATTAGAGAATCAAATTATTTCTCAAGCATGTTCAATGCTTTTGTGTAGTATGTATATCAGGAAAGTAAATGGTAGTAAACAATGAAATGTATGTTTTAATTTTAATTTGCCAATATTTAAAGAGCACAGAGTCTGCATAATATATGAAGAAAAACGGACTATTGGTCATCACACAAAGCTAACATGAGCTATAGATGTTTGAATATAAACTATGATTTAAACAAAAGGACTGTGTTATTCATATAACATCAAAACAGAAAATAAATTTCATTTTCAGACGTCCATGACTATCAAGTCTGAAACATTTTTGCTAAAAAGTAAAATATGGAAAAGCAATTTCCTCTTAGGAAATCAGTTTTCTGACACACGTGAAAGTAATTTTCATCTTGGCGAAGAATTGTTTTCTTTTGGAAAGATGTACCCAAAGCATATGGATAACTTTTACTAACAACTTTTCCAGCAGCAACATTTACAGAAATAAATTTTACCTCAGTTTTTAGTGGTATATATATAAAATTTTAAAATGTAAAAATAAGCTATTCTTGGTAGTACAGTATAGCTCGTAAAGGTTTAAGATTGCATAGTGGACACAAAGCAAAACAGGAAGACTGAAATTCTACTGGAGAAATAACTTGTTTCCATCTCTTACACTAGCGCACTACCATGGCGGCTAAGCAGCGGCCACTCCACTAACAAAAACAAATATATGGATCCAAAGCAGCTAAGAGTATGAACTGGATGACAGAATGAAGTACCATAGAGAAAAGAATGGTCATGTTTTCTCTCCCATGAGATTAAATAAATTAACAGAATTAAGAGAAAGAAAACAAAATGAAGTCTGCAGGTATACCAAAATGAGGCCAAACAGATAAAGAGACTTGTACAGACATACTCTTGGAAATTTCAAGCACCTGAATCACAAAGATAGTAATGGATGGATATGATTTGTTTTTGGTTTTGTTTTTAAATTGCCAGACCCAAAAATAAACAAAATATGTGCAAGCAAAACTGAAAAAGCAGCATTGCTAAAATATATTTGAAAGAGCCAAAAAATTTCCTTTCCTTCATGCAGTCATCAATTTTCCTGAGAAATAGAAATTGATAGTTTATGTACTTACTATCTCACGATGTATAAAATACCACACTACCATCTTAAAATATTTTCTTCAAGCTTGAAATATAGCGTTATAAGATGGTAGTTGGAATAGTCTATACAAGCTAAAGTCTTTCTTCACCCTTCCTTCTGGAAACTGCTATGTGAACATTCATAACTTTGATCTAACAGCCAAATCAAATAAGACCAACATTAATAAACATGGTACTAAATGGTTTCAGACTCAAAATCATTAACAAAATAATGACATGTTTTAAGTTAATGTTTTTCAGTAAAACAGAAAATCCCAAATCTTTTAATTCCTTAATGGAGGCAGTTTAATTTTTAATTTGGGAATTTGTATAGCCTTGTCTTTGCAGGGCATGGTGGCACACACCTGTAGCTCCAGAACTCAGTTAAAAGCCAGCCTGAGCCATGTAGCCAGACTGTGTCTCAAAACAAAAAAACAAAAACAAAACAAAACAAAAAAAGCCTAAACAAACAAGCAAGACAAACAGGCTTGTTTCTTGTTTTGAAGGCAGTGCTTACATCACAATTACAAGCACATTAGAAATTGATACAACCTCTGAGTCAGACCTATAGTATTTTATAAACAATTTTAGCAAATTTTCAATGTTTAAAACTTTTAAGCCTTAAAAAAATTAATTTATATATCATCTTTAGTTTCAGTTTTAACTTCTGTTTCTTACTCTCTTGGTGAGACAGGATCTCACTAAGTAGCCCTGGCTGGCCAGGGATTCTCTATTAAGAGCAGGCTTGCCCTGAACTCCACCTACTTCTGCCTTCCAAGTGCTGGGACTAAGGTGTGTGCTTAGTTCTAGCCCCACAATTTTAATATCTGACACAGAATTTGCCTGGGTGAAATAAATACAGCAGACTAATAACCTTCAGGGGTTGATTATGGGTAATTTTGACAATAACACGTGACCTCAGGGGTCCTCATGGTAATTTTGTAAAAATACAAAACAAATGTCCCTATCAAGTTAAGGAGAAGGTATTAACTCATGTGTTGACCTTCCCACATCTGTATCTTAAGGCCACTTTTCCTATTTGGAGCCTGTCCTGGAACTAGCTCTTGTAGACCAGGTTGGCCTCGAACTCACAGAGATATGCCTGCCTCTGCCTCGCGAGTGCTGGGATTAAAGGTGTGTGCCACCACCACCCAGCCAGATATCAAATTTTCTTTAAACTCAATTACAGTTGTAGGGATAGAAGATCTAAGTGATTATTGGCCCTTTTGTTAGAAAATAGTTTAATACAAGTAATTACTAGAACATAGAAATTGCTGGTGATCTCAATCAATGAAGTGAATGAGGTCATATATTTTCCATACCAGAAAATAATATTTAGATACAGGGACTGAAAGTTGCATCTGAGCCTCATGAGAATAGCCCCTAATTTCAGAATAAGACATAAATTATAAGTATTATAACTCTATTACTGTACATCACGACTTCTCAGACCCTGCAGAGTAGTAGTTCTGTGATTGCTGGGCTCTCGGGAAGGCGTTGCCAGTTTTTCAGGGCAGGCAATGGCTGTCAGCCTGGAGAGCATCTTATCTACCGTAGGGCTCAAGAAACTATTTTGATTTGGAAATTTTCAATTGGACGTTTATAACCATCTTAGTTTTTTCCTAACATGATTTTGTTCAAAAAAGCTTGCTTATCATCATTATAAAAGTTTTAAAACAGTAATTCACTGTTAATTTATGGTGTGAAAAAAGAACAATCAAAGGTGTGCGTGTGTATGTGTGTGTGTTTTAGAGTGTGGGGTGAGTGTGGAGGTTTTTACATGTGTGTATGTGTATAGCATAAACAAGAAAAATTAGTTTTGTAAACCTAGAAGTTTAAATAAAACTTTTCCAATAGGCTTTATAAGACATAATAATACATTTCAATGTCTGGATTTTGGTATATAATTATTTTTCGAGCACTTCGTTCATCTTTTTAAATTTTGGTCTTTTTGTTGGCCACTGTTCTGTTAAGACTTTGGAACTGAAAACCATTTTCGGAGGAGAGGACTCTAGTTAGCAGTCAGCACTCTACACCTTCACTGCTTCCCACTTCATACAGAAAACACAAGGTTTGGCTTTTGGTTTTCAAATTCATAGCTTCCAAAACCCAGCAGGTAATTCTATATTAGGACCTTAATGTAGAATTTTTTTTAAAAAAAAATAGGCATATCTATATATACTGCCATAATTAACTGAGATTGGTTCTGGGGGGTGCTAAAAATTAACTTTACATACAAAGTAAATTGTTATTTCTACAAATGCAATTTTTCAATTAAATGACCATGTTTTTACAAAAAAAAAAGCAAACAAACAAAAAATTTAAAATTTCCTTTTACAATGCAGGCAGACAAAACAGAACAAACATGACGCCAATGATATACTAGTAAAATACACTACGTCCAATAAAAGATGAAGAAACTACAAGGAGAAACTAGAATGGAAAATAGGCTACAGGGACTATATGGGTTCATTAACACAAAGAATTTTTGAGTCTGGCCTAAAAAATAATTGCCTTCGACATCATTTTGCTTTCCCTTTGTTAAGTACGTTTTCTCAAAGTCAGCAATACCTTGTCTACCTGTCCTGTCTGGGAGACTGAAAGATAAAGGTCTGTAAGAGAGAAGAACGGAAAGAGCTAGAAAGATCAGGATGTTCAGGAAAAAAAGGAGGACTGACTTAAAAAGTAGTAACTAAATCCAGACCCATTTATCCAACCTTAAGAATAACCAGAAATACATAATTCCAACAAGTCTCCCACCCCACCCCTCTACCACCCCCAGAACTCCTTTTATTCCCTGGCAGCTTGCTCAGTGCCTCTCAAATTTCCCCAGCCCCCACCAATATCCCATCTTAAACCCATCTCTCCCAAAACCCCCAAAAGAAAATAAACCATCTTTTCTCTCAAACCACAACAGGTGAAACACATTGTCATGTCTTTTCTTTTCTCCTTGGGAGCAGACTGACCTGTCCTACTTATCTAGGTGCTAGGAATTAAACGAGTCACTTTCTTCCATTACTGGAAATGTACTACCTTAAAGTCCCTATATTTGATTTCTGACAGATAACCTAAATAAATTAATAAATTAATATTTTAAAAGCCATATCTTAATTATATTCAGGATGATTTTCAAAAGCTAGAAGATAATCCTAAAATGGTTCTTATTTTTAAAATATGATCAGTTCTTTTTACCAATCTGAATTTTAGTTAAGTCTTCCTTGTTATTTTTGTGTTATAATTGAAATTTACTAAGAATTAATACTTTACTCTCTAAATAATTTTAAATTCATCTGTAGAGCCACCTGGCTGGTTAGATCTAAATACATGAAGTTAAATTAAAAATTTAAAGCATCTGAAAACTTGAATTTTAGTGTGTGGTCTTCCAAACATTGAAAAATATAGTTAATGGCAACTTGCATGAAGTCAATATAATTTTAACATACTTTCAATAAATAAGATGTCAAATGTAAAGAAACACATGATAACATAATTTGGTGGCTTAACCCTTATCTGATTAAAATATACACTCTTGCAAAGTACGCACACAGAAATAAATAATTTGGCAGCAGATAACAGCTGAGTATATTTATTAGAACACAGCCAGTGGATAACCATTAGAAACATGCACCAATATTCTAAACTTTTTAAATAAGATTATGCCGTAAAAAAAAATCTCTGCATAGCAATTTTATAAAACCACAGCATTCCCATCAAAAATGTGAATTCTGTATCTTGCCACTCTCTATAGCTTAAAAAAACTCTCTTATTAATATAGTCTATTGAAAAACCAAATATGAAAAATGTACTTCTTATTCATGACTTTTGCAAATACTATATATAAAACACTATATAGAACAAAAGTAAACAGGAAACAAAAAAGAAAGGAAAAAGAGGAAAAGGAGGGACCGCCACTAACAGGAGATGAGTCCCTAAAATATGAAACAATCCAGTCACATGACCAGTGTATGTTTACAGATTATTACAGAGTTCACAAATTAACCCTCCATTTTAGAGCAACTAGTGATGCATTATGTTACTGTGGCCTTGCATTTAAACCCTACTTTAAAACTACTTTCGCAGTTTTTTGAAGCAATGTTGAACAATTTGCATACATTTCAAGCCAATATTTTAAAACTTTAAATGACACACTCAAGTTAATAATTTTTTTACTGTACTAAATGTTACAAATAAATATACTAAATAAAACTGTTCTTTTCCTTGACCTAAAACAGAACTGTCTATTGCATATTTTCTGCTTTCAAAACTCAGCAATGCAAGAACAGGTGGAAGAACATACATGACACAGTCACGTGTCCTGACTTGAGGCTCTGCGTCACCACTGCAAGTCTCTCCTTTGGAAAGCCAACAGGCACGGCAGATTGAGAGAAAAAGACCTCAAAGACTACCTTTACTTTAAAATACAGGAAAGTGTTTTTATAAGGAGTTTTATCTGTTTCTCATTCAAATCCTGCATATCCTTCAATTAAAATGAGCATAAAACTGTATCAAACTGAACTTTAAATATCACCAACCAAATATCATATTTTTGGAACTCACCTGTTGTAAATTAATTTAGTAACAGTAATCCCACTCTTTTTACAGCAATATGTGTTTGAACTTCCACTAATAATTCTTTTTATTTTGTTTTTTTTTTCAATCTGAGTTATAAAATGCAAGAATAATCCTTAAAGGCTGGGCATGGTAAACATGACTTGAGATCCCAGTGCCCACGAGACAGACACAGGTGAATCTCTGTGAGCGCCAGGCCAGCCAGGGAAACGCAGTGAGACTCTGTCTCAAAAAAATAAACAAAAGAGAGTCTTTAAATAAGGGAAATGCTGGGTACGTTATCAAGACTTCTCATCTTTCTCAACTTGTGTCATAAATAAGCAACATCCCAAGTAATGTGAACTGAGTGGCTCGGGCACAGCACCTGCCGCCGACCTGCAGCCCCGTTCCTGAGAAGCGCGACTAAAATTCTAAAGTAGGGTCTCACACAGCACGCAAGTGTAAATGTTCTTACTCAACCTGTTCAGTTAGCCACAAATAACAGGTCCCCATTATAGAATACAGTACAATTTGTGTGTTAATGAATAAGACATGTAACTAACTTGTTATTTAGCTTTGGGAAGGACCTAAAAAAAGAGTAAAGTACTGAATCTCTTTTTCTCAATGTGCAGATTGACTAAACACCTATTATAAAACATGACTTCCTCAAGAAGAATTCCACTTCCTCTCCTCTTCCCCCCCTCCAGAAACAGTTTAAAATAGTATTTGAGGGCACACTCCCACTGTGGTTAAAAGAATACATAAGCTTTTTGGAGCCTGGCAGTGTTGGGACATTCTGACAGAAAATGTGCACACTGAAAGGCTCCAGGGTGCCTAAAGGTTGCTACTGAAGGACACACAGTGAAGGCTACAGAGTCAGGCATAAACAGCTCACGGGCATGCTCAGAACCTTCACTAACTAAAGCATTTTCCAGCCTTACCTCAGATTTCTCCAGTTTATTTTGTGCATCAATTTGTGTAACAATCTCATTCATGTTGGTCTCCAATACCATTCCCCCCATCACCATTTCTGCAAGAATATTGTGAACCTAAAAGGAAAAAATAATATAAACAAGACTATTCACTACAAAGAGTTTAACTATTTCGTCATTTTTGTTTTAAAATCTGCTGTAATAAACTGTAATCAGATTTCACTTTCATTAGTACTATGAAACTTCAGGTAATTATACAGCCTATGTAGGTATTAAGTTTAATGAGTTAAAAACAGAGATAATATTAGTTCTCCATAAGATTATTGAAAGGATCGAATTAGGCAATCTATAAAAGTAATCAAACTAAATAATAATTATGATAATAATTATAATAATAATGATAAATATTAATTACAGAATTCTCTCTCATCTGCATTTTTAATTTTTTGAAAGTTTCATTACCTGGATTCAATTTTGATCCAAAAATATAAGGTGGAAAACTCACAGAAATACACAGTTCATAAGCTTTAAATGCATGTTTTACTCCTTTCTAACCAGAATATGGTGAATTATTGTAAGGGCTTCCTCCCAGAGGTCTCTAACAGGAAACAACTAAGCCTCAGGGCAGGAAAATGGTCAGGCCCTGCCCAACAGGGGAAAAAAAGGCCCAAGATCAGGCCACCCTGGAAATCTCTTCTTGCCCAAGAAATCTATATAAAGTCTGCTTCCTGCTCAGTTATTTGCTGTTTCTCACCAGAGCAGAGGCGGCCACCTCCTAGTGTCTTTCCCAATAAATCTCTTGTGTAAAGGTTTGTTGTCTGTGTGACTTTGTGGTGTCCCATGGTTCACAAATGCCAGGATTTTCCCTTCAGAGCTGCAATACTGGGGAAACCTTTCCCCTCAGAGTTAAGACATTTACAATTTACAATCCCCTCTTCCTCAAAAATAGCAACAGGGGCTAGAGAGATGGCTCTGATTAAGAGCACTGGTTGCTCTTAATCCAGATTCAAGCCCCAGCTCCCACATCTCAGCTCACAACTGTCAGTAACTCCAGCTCAGGGAGATCCATCAGACGCCCTCTTCTGGCTTCTGCAGGTAACACACACACACACACACACACACACACACACACACACACACACACGCACACACGCACGCACGTAGCGCACAAATATACATGCAGACAAAACATATACAAAATAACAAATAAGTAAACTGAAAAATTGAAAAGCTAACAACAAGAAAACACAAAACAAACAAACCAAAAGAAACCCGGAAGTCATCAGATTACTCATTTAGTACAGTAACCAGTCTGCATTCTTTGGGAGCTCTTCCTCTTAGGCACCATCACCTCCAGACACAGCACTGTGGTCAGAAACCCCAGTCTCCTCCTCACCTTCAGCTTTAGAAGCCACTGACACTGACCCAATCTTTCTTTAGTATCCCTTGGTGGAAATTTCCTTCTGACTATTCCAACAAGCTCTTAACTCACTTGTTTTAAATCTCAATGAATACAAAACTAATTTTCATGCTTCAGGGGAAAAAAATGTCCTCCAAACACACACAAACAAAACAACAGCACTGCCAAGAGAAACTTAATTAAACTGCTTCAGGATAAAATCCAAAATTCAAGGCAGTAAAAGCTCTTCAAAACCAGTCCTTGATTAATATCAATCCTCTTTACAGAACAGCCTGTATTTTACTTTTGCCAGTATGGTTCTCTCCTTTTCTAGCGTCCTTTTCCATTTACTCATTCTTAAAATCCAGTTTAAATGCGAGTTCCTTCAATCACAGACACGCAGGCAGAGGCAACCATGTCTCCACCAACCCCTGCCCACGTCATTTCCTCTCCTAGGTAGGAACTCTTCTAGCTTTGTGCATTAAATGGCATTCCACTCTAACAAGCACAAATCAACGCTTTTCCTAAATAAAAAGCTTAAAATACTTGACAATATGGTAAACAGTACCTTGTCTACATGGAATATTAAATCCAGTTCACAGACATTTTCAAAACATTTATCTAATGTTTCCACAAATACCTAAGGAAAAAGAAAAGAAAAAAGATATTTTGAAAAGCATATACATTCATTCAAACTTCTTATATATGAGGCAGACAATCTTTAACCATATAAAAACCATTCTATTATCAGAACCTCTTTTGAAAATTCAAGACTATAATAAAAAGCAAATTCCACTTTCAGATAAACTAAATTTTAGTATTCAAAACAAACTTCTATAAATGATTAAAATTAAATAGGATGAACACCATTACTTAAAATTAAAAAAATTAAATATTCAAATAAGTTTTCTTCAGGAAAGTATCTGAGTAAAAGTTCATCAGAGAATGCTAATGCACAGAGTCCAAGTTTCCTTCATACCTAATGTGGTCAGTCATTCTTAATTACAAAATTACTCTAACTAACCCCTAGACATTACTTAGTGAAGACCAAGACCTCATCATCAGATTGAACTCAGTAACTTGTACGACTTTTTGAAGAGTTACCTCAGTAGTCATAGTTCAAGCCCTGCACACACATAACCTGTTTTAGGATTTGTCTTTGGTCAGCTCCTAAGAACTAAGCGCTGACTTTCTAGAATACTCTGTCTCATAATAAGTGTTTTAGAACACAAATGACAACTGGACCTTATCTTACTCACCTGATCAACCTAAGCAGCTATCAATGTAATATACTTTATGGCTGACACTTGTTTTCTTTCTGGCGGGTCTTTAGCTTACATAACCAAATCAGTCACACAGGCACTATACACTTATGTGGCTGAACCCTAATAAAAGTCAATACCCAACTAATAACAGAGTACTGACTGGTGGGGGGAGTTATATATTACACTGTTTTATTCTCTAAGTACATACAGCAAATTGTATAAATGTGTATACACACACACTGCTACCACCACCAACAGCAAAACAACTTCTGACCTCACCAAAAGAAAGAACATTATCTTACTATAAATTTCTCATAACCAGGATGCTGAGATTTTAATATTCATCGTTATCACTATCAAGAAACAAAAGCAGATGAAAAGTTCTGAAAAGATGAACCAACACTAACAACAGCCAAGATGAGATTTTATACTCATTAACTAAAATATCCAGCTATCAATCCATTCTAATAATTTCTTCCACTACACATTATAGAAGTTTCTATGGATAACATCTAGACTCCACTCTATACAAATGCATCTTCCAAGTGATATTAGCTAGTGACTAAATTTCATGGCTCTACTGTTTACATGAGGAATATATTACTCAGGTAACAGCTCCACTAGATTTGCTTGTTTTAATTAATACAAAGTTCATTCTTGGCTGCATGGTGGTGGCCACACCTTTAATCAGGAGGCAGAATCAGGCAGATTACTGAGTTCGAGTACAGCCTGGTCTATGGAGTGAGTTTCAGGCCAGCCAGGGCGATAAAGAGAACCCTGTCTTGAAATACAAACAAACAAACAAAAACAAAAGAAACAAAACAAAAAGTTCATTCTTGAAGAATTTGTTAGCATTTCCTAAACCTCAAAATACTTAAAAGGAATAATTCTCCTTTTAACATCTAACATTGGTGTGTTGAAGAAAAGGAAGAACAAATCAGAACATGAAAGTCAAGGAACTACAAAAGATTAGCATTAAGTCTTTCTAGCCAGCGTTGCCTGTGAAGGAAGTTTCTATTAATTTCCCTTAAGTCTTCTGTGGGAGAAGAATGTGCGCACGGTCAAAAGTCCAGTTTCTCCTTTTCCTTGTGACACATGTGGGGCCATTCTCCACGCACTGACACTGCAATGCTGCAGGCTACTAGAGGAGTAAGCAAGGCCACAAAATCAGAATTCAGACTTGAAGACTGGCTCATAATCTCAGCTTCTTTGTATTTCTTTTCAAATATAGTAAGAAAGTGAAACTGAGGGCCAGTTTTTGCTTAGTGCTGATAGAGGCATGGCATTTACTTGTAAATATAACTTTTTTTTAACTAAAGATATTTCTAAGGAAAGCTCTTAATTAAATTTTGGGATGTTAGTTCTTTTAAAATGTTTATAAAATAAATAGCATCATCTTTGCCTCCTTTCCAATAAAAACGTGACTTTTACTGTATTGAATATGAACACGGTATACCATGTATCTGGGATGTGTGCCTGAAGGCGTTCTCACTTCTCACATTGCTAAACCTATTTTCTTAACCCAATCTTTACAGTTTTTGAGTGGTATGTACAAAATGAAATGTTTTAGGATGAACTTCCCTGGATTAAAATATGCCATCCCATATTCTTGGGGAGGTGAGTGTCCTGTGACTTCCATGGGAAGAGACCTGGTAGCTTACAATTTGTTTTTCAAAAAAACTTTCTCATCATCTGTCTTTGCTTACTTTGCTCCATACCATATCACGATATAAATCCTAACCATGAGTATATGACAGATCTGAGTCCTGCTAACATGAGTAAGACGTCCTAAATTTCATCTTGCAGTTTCTCGGGGACTGAATCATCATTTATACCCTTCTCAAAAGTAACCTTCACACAACAGCAACCATACCATTATCCGGCACACTAGATCGATGCAGAGAATAAAGGGCAACAGCTATAAACACCACCACTAAAATAGTATCAATATTATTAACATACAGGTACACCCTGGAACTGCAAACATAAAAGAGAACACCTCAGGAAAGCGGAAGCATACTGTAGTTCTATTCACGGGAGATTCTGTGGGCAAACAGCTCTCACCAGCAGTTCCCTTGCTGGAACCACTTCAAACTCGGGGTTACTCCTACAGCTTCACAGTGCACCTTACAGAACAGCCTGGATGTCATTTCGCCAGTCGGACTACCCTTTCCTTTTCTAGTCTTCTTTTTATGCACAGAACATTTGCTCATTCTTTAAAATTCAATTTAAATACAATTTTCTCCAATCACACGAAGAGTGTACGTGTGTGTGTGTGTGTGTGTGTGTGTGTGTGTGTGTGTGTGTGTGTGTAAGGGAGATGACTTGCCACTCACCCTCCTAAATAGTGTCCACAAAAGTTTTAAAGTCCAATTTTTCTGCTTTTTTCTTTTACAGTTTGCTGTTGTTGTCAGATCTCAATTTAAAAAATCACCACCTACAACAAGGTCAAGAAAACTATTCTCCCAGAAGAATATAATCTTTTTTCTTTCTTTTATTTTCCATGTTTTTAATCAACTTTATCTGGCACTGGTGTGTGTGTGTGTGTGTGTGTGTGTGTGTGTCCTCTAATCCCAAATCATTGGTAGATTTAGGAATCAGAACAATGTTTTCAGTGGTCTGGTATGCTTATGGCTACCTTAGCCTTAACTTACAAGTTGAAGTCATTCTGTTTTTAGTACCAAAAGAGTATCTGATGAGAAATGCTATGCAAACAGCTTCCCTTTACTTGCATGTTCTTACAAATGATTAGAAGAACCTACTGAATGTGCAGGTCATGTTGAGTGAAAAAGGCAAAGTAGCTGAGATCACTGTGTGCGCCACTGGAGAACTTACCAACAATGACATAAAACAGCTTGCCTGCATAGGTAGTGTGGTGTAGTGAAGACTAAGCTTCAAAATCATTATTAAGATTTGGTTTCAAATTTTTACTCTGTTGCTACCCAGTTTAATGGTCTTCTGCATCACTTAACCTCTTTCTAGTCTCAGAACCATAAAATGATAGTAGAACTACTCAGTTTCTGGATTATTGCCAAGTTTTATTTAAACCACTTGACTAGAATATTCATAGCACAGTTCCAAACTCCAGCTAACAAATGACAGGCAATATTGTATATACTTGGGATAGATGTACAAACACAGGGTGATGCCAAAATTAAAAGAGAAATGGAAAGGTCTAATTCTGCTAGAAAACACTGATATACGGATAAGACAAGATGACCATATGCTTCAGTTGCCAAGACTTTAGAATTTTCTTGTTAATTTAACTATATGCGAACTGGCCTGGCAGAAATATTCTAAAGAGATCCTTTGTATTTCTCAATCTATCAGAATATTGAGACAATGGACCCCAAATAAATGAGAATTTCCCTAGCAATCTCATGTTCAGAGAAGGAAAAGGTACCAGCTAAAGTGGGAACTTGTCCCCTAAAACAAAATTTCACCCAGTTCTAACAGTATATGAAATCAGCTTACAGGATGAAACTGAAATTCAGACAGGACTGGGTGAACACGGGCAGGACCACACCTCGACTAAAGCTGCTTAGATGTGCACGTCCTTTGCTCTCTACTTAAGCCCTGTCTATTTCAGGACTCTGACTCGGAAGGGCTCACATCTTTTTGTCCTTCTCCCCAATGTAACCACATTGAATACATTCTTCTCTACTTTCCACCTTTAATTGGCTTTCTGAGAACAGGCCAGACCTAATTTGGGGCACAGATTGGATTGTGACTCTCATGTTTGATAAAAGTATCAGCTCAGAAAATCTCAGAAAATAGATGGACAACAAGATAAAAACAACAAAGTCTATAACTATACAGTCTTAGTTTATAAACCAATTCTTAATATTTACATATAATCCATTCAAAATATTAAGTGTGGCTGAAAAAAATCCAGACCCTCTACAAAAAACAATTCAGCAATTCTTTCCACTCAGCAAAAATTATTTAATATAATTAGAAAACCCAGAACACACAAGTTATAATCTTAGAATAAATTTATCTGCAAAAAGTACACAAAGATTTTTTTATTTATTTAAAGGACCTTGGAGGTTCTGGATCACAAATAATAAAAGTGTCATCCTATCATAATTTCTCAAGGAGAATGATGTTTAAAAAGTTAAGACCGAGAAGTGATGATAATAGCACCCCCTTGTGTCTCACTTTAAAAAAAAGTTATCAAGTTTAGAGTCAGTGTCTTTTATGGCAAGAATATAAAATCAAATATTTAACATCTGGTTAAGGAATTCAAAGGCTAGTAGGAGATAAATTGTTTTTACTTTACTGAAGTATATTTTAACTTCTTTCACTTCAAAAAAAAACCCAGAAGATTAGTACTCAGTTTAATGATGATAGACATAATAAGGAAGGTGACACA